TAAATCTTGGTCTGCTGCCTTCTTCTCCTCCTACATGTCACTGCGTGAGTGCAGCTACAGCGTGCGCTCTCAGGACATTATTACCTGCAGTGTTCCCTCACTGCGGACTGACAAAAGGACCTTCTCCTCCTCCGCTCCTGTTTCCTAGAATATCTTGCAAAAAGATCTAAAGCTCTCGACCTTGTCCTCTCTAAGTGGCTTCAAACATCTGCTGAGTTCACTGCCTCGTAATCTTGCTGGTTTTTTAAATTATTTTTTGGTTACATTTTCTTTTAAATACCATTTTATTTTCACTTGTTATTCTCAATTTGTATGCATCCTTTATGATTGTCGATTGTTGTCAACTGTTGTCTTCACTCTTTGTTAAAAAAAAAAATCAGGTCTCTCTTGTAAATGAGTCCCTGAGACTCAATGGGATTAACCTGCATGAATAAAGATTGAATGAATTAATTTATTGTACTGTTTGGCGTTCGTTTGATGTTTATCTTAGTGTATATCTTAGATCCTTATTTACTGTTTCTTTTTATACTTTATATTTAGCTGTTTTTGGCTGTAACTGGGACTCTGAGTACATAATTTCATTCCACCTCATGTACCACATGTGACAATAAACTCGACTTGAACTTAAACGTCACGTAACATTCAGACTGTGGCACAGAGACGGCTGGTCTGCTGCTTGCTCTGCAGGAGAGCTGAGGACGCCTGCAGAGACCAGGACCAGGGAAGTCCTGCACATGACACAGGATCAGACTTCAGAGGAGGAAGCAGCTTGAAGGTCTGGATTATTGAAGGTTTTGACACTTGCTCGGTCCTTCTTTCACCCTTCACGCTGGTTTTTTCCAAGCAGGCTGATGATCAGCCAGCACCTTGGTTCAGCCTCAGACCTGCCAACAATCAACGGCCCACTTCTTCTTTATGCTTCTAAATATCCTGCTGAAGAATGTCGGAACTGGTCATCATTAACTTCACGCAGACTCTCCCACTGGTACATTTTTATCTTTAAATCACTTCTTGGTCTGCTGCCTTCATACATCTCCTCCTACATGTCTCTGCGTGAGTGCAGCTACGGCGTGCGCTCTCAGGACATCATTACCTGCAGTGTTCCCTCAGTGAGAACTGAACTAGGCAAAAGGGCCTTCTCCTAATCCGCTCCTGTTTCCTGGAATATCTTACAAAAACAATTGAAGCTCTTGACCTTGACCTCTCTAAGTGGCTTTAAGAATCTGTTGGACTCCTGGCAGGGACCAATGCAGACATGTTCCTGTTTTTAGTTTTCTACATTCGCCTTAGAATCTAGCTGTTTTTTGTTACTTTTCTTATTTTTAGCCATCTTATTTATTAAAATAAATAAATAAATTGTATGACTTTTTATAACTGTCCATTGTTGTCATCATTCTTTATTGACATCAGGTCTCTTTTGTAAATGAGTCCTTGAGGCTCAATGGGATCTACCTGTCTAAATAAAGGTTGAACGAATGAAAAAATGTGTGAGAGTACTGCTTGTTGTGCTCTCGCAACCTAAATGCGTTGGACTGTTTGTGACTTCTCTACTTGCATGTTTTTGTAATATGCTCAAGTTTTTGCATTTTGGCACCGCGCACAGTTTTTATCTCTACTGCTATAAAAAGAACAAACTTTGTGCTGCTAACCACATTTCAGAACGTTCTACCTCACGTAAAGTACCACCTACTACTATCAACACGTGTGTCTCTTAATGACTTGTTTAGATGAGGTCAGATGTCTTTTTGTTTTAGGTCTGTTTGTATTTATCGTTCTGTTGTGTGCACTGTGTTGTATTGTTTTGCACTTTGCACGTTTCATTTCAGCGTGTACTTGTACGTAGCTGAAGTGACAATAAAACCGCTCTGACTCTGTCTGCTGTTCCATCGTCTCTCCAGAATGGATTTAGTCTCAGCTGTCGGCTCACCAGAACACAGCAGAACGTTTCTCGAGCCATGAGCAGAATTTGATCTCCTCTTATGTCACCACGCCCCACTCCCCTTTAAGCTGCCCCACTCCTCATCAACCTGTCACCTGCTTAAAGCCCACTAATGGTAATTGCAGTTTGCATCTCACTGTAAGCAGTGGGGTGGTTTTACACTTTTATTTATTTTTTTATTTTTTTAATTTACGTGGTTTCATGCAAAAAATAAACAGCCTGTATTTTACCATCAACATATATTTTAGTTTTTAAAATGTCTATAGATGATCAAAAGCTCAACGTTTCATAACACAAACATGAGCGCCTAACGACTAATATCCTCACAAATCTTTTGCTGCTTGACCTCAGGATCAGTAAAAACTACAAAAATGGCATCTTCTGTAAAAATGCTGCGCGCTGAATGACAGCTGAAGTTTGCTGAAAAAGCTGAAACTGAGCTGTTAAAGCTAAAAGAAAAAACAAAAGGAGCAGAAGTATCATAAGAGAAGCTAAAAGTCTCAAAAAACTATTAATTGTATCAAAAAGCTGAGCAAAATTTAAAGTAGAATGGTAGCTAAAAGTAGCAAAAGGCTAGTTAAAAGCTAAAAGTAACAAACTGATAGCACCCACTTTCTGAACGTTTTCATAAACGAATAGCTAAAGAAGCACAGCGTTTCCAAAAAAACGTAAAAAACAGAAAACCTTTAGTGTTAAATTAAACATTGTTAAGATGGATTTCTTTTTTTCTACCTGTCTGTCTTCTGCCATGTATGTCTAGTTCAGTGGTTCTCAAACTGGACCCCCCAGGATCAGCGAGGGGGTCCGCAATAAATAAATAAATATATACATTTAAATATTTTTTACAAGCACGTAAATGTTTAACAACCTGTTAAAATACACCAGATTGCAGGAAATCACATACTTTATTCAACATTTTCTGGGGGAGGATCCCAGGCCCCCACCGGCCCGCCTGCTATTTGTGTTCCGGCATCGATCGGTTTACAAATGAAGCCCCGTTACTTGGTTTGACTACTGCTGTTCTGATTCTGTTCAGTCTTATGTAAATAGTTGTATGTAATAATTCAAATAATTGGCAATACATTCATTATTTTCATTGTGTGAATAGGTAAAGTTTTAAAGTGGTTTTCGATACTGTTAATTTTCTCAACACTGTAATTTTTGGAAGTTGAAATTAAGATTTTTTTTAAATTAAAGTAAGTGCGTCTTGAATGAAAAACACTCCATGTTTAAAAGTATAAAAATTGTATTAACACTATTAAAGAACAGGTCTTAAATATTTATGTTACACAAATATTTCCACTGCATTAAAGAGTCAAACTGAAGAAAATGGCTTTAAGAATCTTTTGGACTCCTGGCAGGGTCCAATGCAGACATGTTCCTGTTTTTAGTTTTCTACATTTGTCTTGGAATCTAGCTGTTTTTTTGTTTTGTTACCTTTTTCCTTTTAGCCATCCTATTTGTTAAAAAAAAAACAAAAAAAAAAAAAACTGTAGTATGAGTTTTTATAATTGCTTATTGTTGTTGCTGTTGTCCATTGTTGTCATCTTTCTTTGTTGAAATCAGGTCTCTCTTGTAAATGAGTCCTCGAGGCTCAATGGGATTAACCTGTAGAAATAAAGGTTGATTGATTTTCATTCATTCAACCTTTATTTAGACAGGTCAATCCCATTGAGCCTCGAGGACTCATTTACAAGAGAGACCTGGTTTCAACAAAGAAAGATGACAACAACAACAATCATATAAGAGGCATACAGATTATTTTTTTAAACAAATTAAAAATAAGATGGCAAAAAATAGCAAAACAGCTAATAATAAGGCGAATGTAGAAAACTAAAAACAGGAACATTTAATAAACATGAGGGTTATGAGGGGTCCATGAAACTTTTTCTCCCCTGTAAGGGGTCCCCCAAAACTTTGAGAACCCCTGGTCTACTTTACTTTTTCGCCACACTGGGTGTATTTATCATCAGTTCTGCTGATGCAACTCGGGTTGTGAACGCACCACGCCCGTCTAGTCGACGTGAGTCTGGCCGTGAACGCATCACGCCTGTCTGCTCTCCAGTTTCAGTATGGCGGCGGGGACTTGCGGAGGAGGACAACTTCTTCTACCTTCCTTCTAGAGAACTGCCGGGAGGCGGCGGCTGTGGCACAAACCCACCACGGCGAACACGCCTTGGACTGCGATAGACGACGACAGCGCAACCGGTGGCCTCCGTGGGCTTTTCCCCGGAAAGATAATCGCGTTGGTGCGATGCGCGGAGAGCCGCAGTCCAGAAACTCACCCGATTTTTCCGCGTCTCCCTCCGCTGGCTGTCAGTTAGCCGGCTAGCTGCTAGTTAGCTCGCCTTCATGCTAACGCTCGCCTTCGGGGCTCCGCTGTGGCCGAACACGCGCCGCTTCGCCGTTTTTGTTTTCACCGGAGACGAGCATGGCATACCGCTTCCCTTCGGTAAGCGAACTGGTTGAGAAGGGCGCGGAGAAAACGTTTGAGGACCTGAATGGTAACTTTGTCAGCACTCATTAGCCTAGCCTCATTAGCCTGCTTGGTCCTGCGCCAGGAAACGCTGGCCGAGTCTTAGCGCTTCAATTAGCATCTTAGTTGTTCAAGACGAGCCGCTAATCCCCGGTTCAGCCCGGCTCGGTGTGTCTGGAGCTCTAATCCAAACAAAGTGGACGCTGAACTGCTTTAGCTGGCCAACATTAACTAACCAGCAGGGTTGTTTCTGGCTTTCAGTCGTTCTAGGTGTCGTTAGCGATCTTTTGGTTGTGTTTTGTTTTATTTTTTTTGTAAAGCGGGTGGTAACTCCCTGTATCAGGGCAACAAGGTCACCCAGATTATCATGCTCCGAATGACGAAGAGCCCGCAGGTGACACTCGGCTAGCACCGGCGCGGTGTGGCTGTCCTGGCCGCTGCAGCGCCCAGACATTGAACAGGTCCACTCATCTGCAGCTTAAAGTGTTGGCGTGAGCTCCTGCTGCTCAGGAGGACTGAACAAGATCAAGTTGGGCAACATAACTGGTTCCACTCGCTTGAGTAGTTTGATGGACGTGAGGGGCTGTTTCCCGCACCGTCAGGGCTTTTCTCAGTCATGTATGTCTTGACACATGGCACCTTGGTCTGTACATAGTGTTGGCTGTCACATGTAAGTGTCGTTATGTAGCTCTAGTGAGGAGTCAGTGGAAAAAGGAATGTCTTCTGTTTTTTTACACCTGTTGGTTTGATTTTTATTTTTTGTCAAACGCAGGAGAGTCTTGTTGATTCAACGTGGGGAAGCTGTGTAGTCCTGAGTGTGTACGTTGGACAATGCTTATCAACTAGTGCCTAGAAGATTACACAACTTTAGAGGTCTGCGTGCACGCGCAGGCCGTAGATATCGTAGGTTATTCATTCGTTTCGGGATGCATCAAAACCCTGCCAATCTGGATCAAGAAAATCTGTCTCTTGTGTCTGGTTGGAGTAACACACTCAAGCCAAAATCAATGCCTTCGGCGCTGGCCGTGTTCACCTGCCGACCCAACTCGCACCCATTCCAGGAGCGGCATGTGTACCTGGACGAGCCCGTCAAAATCGGCAGGTCGGTGGCTCGGTGCAGGCCGGCCCAGAACAACGCCACCTTCGACTGCAAGGTGCTGTCCAGGAATCATGCCCTCGTATGGTTCGACCACAAGACCGGAAAGGTAAGAAGCAGCAGTCAAACCTGCAGTGTTTCTGATAAACAAAATGTTTTGTAATTCATGAAAATCCATTTTTTATTTGTCGACACTGATATTTGTTGACCCTGACCCTCCTCCCCCTTTAGGCTCATGTAGAAGTGTCCTTGTGTATGAGCTGATGTGATGGTTGGACGTGCCAGAAAAGGATTATCACACACAGTTTTGTTTAGCAGACACCATAAAGCTGTATCGGCTGAAGATGAGTTGTCGAGGTGTATTTACAAATAAGACTTAAAAATGTCTTGAAATGTTTCCTCACAGCGGTCAGAGGGTTGTCGTCTTGTTACTTTAATTTTTTGGACACGCTCAAAACGAACAGTGCAACAATTTCTCTCAAAATACTCCGAGACGTCTCGGGCGTCACAAACCTTTCTCAGAAGAGCTAGAGCTTTAATTGGACACCTGGACAGGAGTTCTCCTTTGATGATAATTATTGTAAAACTGGTCTAAATATACCTGTTTACGTTTTTAAATTGTACTGTAGCTTAAATCAGAAACATGGGCCGGCTGCCATGGTGGGTACAAAATGACCTGAGGTGGGTGCGGTTAGGAAATGGGCATTTTTATTTAATCAGATCTTATTTATAATTAATGTTTTAGTTGGTTTTAATTGTCTCCAGTTGTTGTTTTGTGTGCAACACTTTGTCCAGTTGCAGTGTAAATGAATTGATTTGAATTGGATAATGCACACGATCCAGAACGACACTTTCCGAGCCACGCGCACCAAAACAGACTGATTTTTGAACGCTGGCGGCTCGGAACACGTCGGCACGACTCGCTGCTCTCTCGGTCCCAAACTCAGGATTCAGCGAGTCGCGGTGAAGAGTCAACCTTCAGCTGCGTGAACTTGAATGTATGACTCACAAGAAAAACTAGATTTGTTAAGACCGACTGGACTTTTGGCATTCCCTGGGCGGTTCAGGACCTGTTGAAGGATCTGATTCTGGTTGTTTTCCAAGTCCATCGTACTTTAATGATCGTGGTGGGGATTTAAAATGATCCATTAAGACCTGATCCAAACGCTGAGCAAACAAACTCCCATTTCCCAAATGATGCATTAATAATTAAACTTGAGTTAGTCAGATTTGATCCTAATTTTCCCGTCATTCCTTTTCTTAAATTTTTTACAATAAAATAAAAATCTGAAGATCATCTTGTTCATCCTTAATAATTAAGAAATTATGAATTATTTGCCTAGAACTCGTAAAAAAAATCCAAACAGTTTTGCTCAGTAGGAGACCAGACTGTTGTTTGTTTGACCCAAACAAAGAGCGGGACAGTACGATAATATGTTCAGGTGACGCGTCACAGCTCTGTGTCTGCGGTGTCTTCCAGGAAGTGTGCACGACTAAACAACTGTTAGAATCACGTGAGCCTCTGACATGATGGGTAGGTGTCTCCATCAGATTTACCGAAGGAGAAATCTATTTTTTAATAACATTGAAAATAAAAAGGGCCGAACCTCAGATCAGACTTTGCGTTCAGTTGATAAACGACTTACGAGCCTTTTCCCCCCAGTTATTTATCATCTGCTTGTTTTTGCAGATCTGTTCCGGTTCTGAACAAGAGAAAAATAATTTTTGATGTCCAGAATCGAATCCAACATTGTTATCGTGGCACTAACCTGTTCTGTTTTAATCCATAAGTCTTAAGATTTAAACCTGTGCAGTGGAGCGTCTGTTGTGTGTCTAGTTTCTTTGGAGAACTGGTTGAACAGGCTGAGAACATCAGGATTACCCTGCTATGCGGCATGCTGGGACTCTGCATGTGTGTGTGCATGTGTGTGCGCACACAAAGCATAAGCTATTTATACCAACATGAGTAGCATCATCCTTTCCTCTCTTCAGGGATAAACGCATCTATTCTCTGATTTAATCACATTTAAGCATTTTCAATCTAAAGCTGGTACATTATGCACAATCAAAATAAACTTTTTTTAAGTATTGGTAAGTTCTCTATTGAATAATAGGACACAGGTTATTTAAACAGGCTTTTTTATGAATCTGTAAATGTCCTTGCTTCTCCTGTTGAACCTCAGTGGAGTGAAACCGGTCACTGAAAGCTCGTAAATGATTGACACCGCTTTATCTAAAAACCAGAGGACACTTTCTCCTGCTCTGGAGGTAGAAGCAGCTTTAGGTGCTTCAAACATTGAACAGCTGTTAAATCATGACGTGTAAAAATAAACACGAGCGCATCGATTGATTAAGACACCAGCTTTAAACAGCACTGTCCGTTCATCTCTTGTTTAATAAATCTAATTTTAATTTGTCATAATAACGCTTTAAGCAGTACACATGTAATAATCGTATATTCAAGAATAAGCCGACAGCCGAGCCTCCTCCTCTTTGTTGTAGCTTTGGGAGGAAAACTGACTCTGCAAATAAATCAAAGCTTGTGGAAAGTTTTGTCTCGTCGTGTGATCCCACCAATCCGCTCCAGATTATTTCAGTGCTCGTTATTTCTCTGGTTTTTATTTTATTTTATGTCTGATTAGTTCACAAGTTTGGTAAAGACAGGTTCAGCAGTTGTCTGTAATGACGGCGAGGTGGTCTGTTGGGAAGCTGACAGTCTAAAAGTTTGTTGTTCTTCGCTGCTGATTGTCTGATCACACTTCAGGTCACAAACTTGTTCTTTATATGAACAAAAAAGTTTTATTTTAGACTTTTGACTCAATTAAAGCTTTAGATTTATTCTAACCGGCCTTAGTTATTGCTCACTGCTGCTTTTGCCCATGTCTGCATTTGTCTGTTCTGTTAGTAAGATATCTCTCAAACCACTAGATGGATTGCAATTAAACTTTGAGGAATTAATCATTGCGGCGCCTCTCAGCGAGAAGGTTGCCAGTTCAAATCCCAGCCTGGGACCTTTCTGGGTGGAGTTTGCATGTTCTCTCCGTGCATGCGTGGGTTTTCTCCGGGTACTCCGGTTTCCTCCCACAGACAAAAACATACATGTTAGACTGATTGGTGACTCTAAATTGTCCCTAGGTGACAGTGAGAGCGTGAGTGGTTGTTTACCTCGTTTGTCTCTATGTGTCCCTGTGATGGACTGGAGACCTGTCCATAGCTGGACATGGGCACCAGTGACCCCATGACCCCGAAAAGGAAGAAGCGGGCAAAGATAATGGACGGATGGATTTAATCACTGGTTGCACCTCCACAACTGATTATTGTTTGGAGACAACCCAATGCAGGATGGTCAACACAGCATCCGATATGAAAAACACAAAAATGGCCACAATTTATTACGATTAACAGATGGAGGGCTAAAACCTGGTGTGGTTGTAGCTAATGTTCAATATTCTTTGTAGTCATTCATATCACATGTGGTGCATGAGGTGGAACAAAACTGTGTACTCAAGGTCCCAGACCAGTTACACCCAAAAATATAAACTATATATTAAAAAAAAGAAACGGTATACAAGGATCTAAGACATACACTAAAAAATAATAATGTAATATAATACAGTGTATTAAACAGAAGCCTGAACATGAGTCTGTTGTGAGCAGATGGGTATGAATATATTATGGGTAAGAAATCAGCAGCATGGATAATAAGCAGCACAGATAAAGTGACAAATCTCCAATTAAAGTATCATTACAGTGATTCTCCTGGTTAGAGATTCATGAGTCTAACAGCCTCAGGGTAGAAGCTGTTCCTCAGTCTAGTGGTTCTACACTTAATGCTCCTTAACCTCCTGCCTGAGGGGAGCGGGGCAAAAAGTGTGTGTGCTGGGTGAGTGAGGTCCTTCATGATGCAGGTGGCCCTCTTCCTGCATCTGGAGGTGTAGATGTCTGTGATGGTGGGGAGGCTGACTCCAACATCTTCTGTGCAGCCTTCACCACTCTCTGCAAAGCTTTTCTTTCTGCAGCTGTGCAGCCTCCATGCCACACGTTGATGCTGGAGCACAGGATGCTCTCCACTGCACACCTGTAGAAGGAGGTGAGGACTGAGCTTCCAGACCAGCTCGTCTCAGCCGCCTGAGGAAGTGGAGTCTCTGATGAGCTTTCTTCATCAGGCTGGTGGTGTTGTTGCTCCAGCTGAGGTTGTTGTTCAGGTGCACACCCAAGTACTTGTAGCTGGAGACCACTTCCACCGCAGATCCTCTTATGTTCGGTGGGGTGTAGATGTTTTTGTTCCTTCTGAAGTCCACAATCATCTCCTTCGTCTTCTTCACATTGATGTGAAGGTTGTTCTTCCTGCACCAGCTCTCCAGGTGTTCCACCTCCTGCCTGGACATTAGACGCACACTGTACTTCTACAGTTTGCCTTCTACCTTTTGGAGTTAGGCCACAGCTAGTCAACAGTTGCCAACTCAAAAATGTTTTTCGATTCAGCAAATATTGAGCTAAAACTTGGTGCGGTAGTAGCTGAGAGTCATTCACGGCAACAGCTCTGTAATTTGTCAACATCTTGGTTTAAGTTTTTAGTTTAAAACTGGGACATCAAAAGCAGTAGATATGCATTTACTAAAGAATAATTCATAAATTCAGTATGTGCTGAATTCATTTTAGGGAAACGGTGATGAACACAGTCAGGCGCTCACAACCTTTGTTTCCTTAACCGCTACCTCACAACTGCCAGTTCCTCTTTAAGTAAGAACGTTTTGTTGAATGAGTTTGCAGTTTTAGTCTTAATCAGCAGCCAACAGTTTTACTTTATAACAACCTGTCATGTAATCAAACAAGCAAACAAACAAACAAACACAAACAGTGTAATGAGTTAAAATTTTCTCTATTTTTGTCTGGTCTGCTGCACATCCAACATGTATACAACTTAAAATAAAACGTGTTTACACATTTTGTTATGATTTTTTTGCTCAGCTTTTATAAACTGTGCAATCCAGAATAACTGGTGTTATTGGTTCTGACTGAAGTAATAAGTTAGTTAAGCTGTTAATCATCTGTTTGTTGTGATTCTGTGAGTATCAGCTAGAACTTGTTGAGAATGTTTTTCTAATT